GCTTCCATCTTTAATCTGAAGACACTTAAACGTACACGCCATCTCGTGGCAACTTTCATAACGATCCCAACGAACTTTGAGAAGGTTCCAGATACCATCACTGTGCATTCCACTATTTCGGCGTGTATGTGAACACATTTGGGACTAACAGGGTTTACTAGAATCCCACCACTCCACCACAGAGTCACCGCAGTAGACGTTAGATGAGCGCTGTCGCTATGCGGCACTTGTTTAAGTTTGAAGTATTGGTATTTTTGGCACTTGTGTCTTTACGTCGTGATAAGATAAGTTCTATTGGTTTGTATGAGTGCTTACTAACGAAGGGCATGAAGGTTTTTTATTATGTTTTTATTATTAGATTCTCTTGTCATTGAATCGACATGCTCCACTTTGATTCGATTTCAGATCGACGATTTGCTCAAGTACCTAACAGATTTACACAAGCGGCTGTTTGGTGACACATTGACCACGTGTGTCGACTATGTTTTCGAGGTCTGGCTGCCCGAGGTAAGCTTAATAAAACCCCCTAAGTTACTGGCCTGTAGAGTGGTAGCAGTAGCCTGGGTTAGTCTCCAAGGTATGTGCAATAAAAAACCCCAAGTTACTAGCCTGTAGAGTGGTAACATCAAGCTGGGTTAGTCCCTGAAGGAAGAGGGAGAAAACCCCCTTAAGTTACTAGCCTGTAGAATTGTAGTTGGGCACTGTGTTAGTTCCCAAAGGAAGGATGTTCCCCCCGTTTTACTGACTTGTAGACTTGTAGCAGTGACCCAAGTCAGTGCCAGAGGGTAGGCAGATAACCTCCCCTCCCCCAACTTACTAGCCTGTCGAAGTTGTATTGTAGTATTGAGCTCTGTTGGTGTCTGATGGAATGTTGATAAACCCTTCCTAAGTTACTAGTCTGTATAATTCTAGTGGCAAGCTGTGTTAGTCCCCGGTGGAAGGGGCATAAACCCCCTCATGCTAGCCTGTAGAGCCTCGAAAAGAACTCGCAGTTAAAGGTTTTCACGCCAGGTAGTGGCAGCGGTGTATTAGCACAGGAAAGGCTGCATGCTGAGTTAGATCCTCTCCAGTCATCGCCCTCGCTAGCGAGACTGCAGAAGTGGAATCCAATGCACGAGCATTTTCAATCCCCCCGTGCGTCCTCGGTGGGACAGGCTGAGGAAGATGTCACCGCTTCATTGCATTGCGTCGCAGCCGGTGACGTCTTTTTCTGTGTTTGTGGTTTCCACATGCTACATTATTAACATTATAACACAAATAATGACATATTCTACTTAAAGATTACTACAACCAATTTATCATGTAGCGCACACACACGCACGCACGCACGCACGCACGCACGCACATAGAAGGCGCGAGAGAGGGAGATAATAACGTTATGAAACATTCCCTCACGATGATAGGTTAGAGCTGCCTGTCAGTCACACTAGGCAGGCTACGTTAAGCCGACCTTAGGTCGGTCTTGCAATGCGATGCGTTTGCCTGCAACTGATTTTCTGCAACTGGTTGCAACTCGCTGTGACTATCGTGTCAACCGAAGCACTCCTGTGACTGCCAGCGACGGGTCTGCGATGCTCAGCGACTGGAAAATTGTTAGTCGCAGCAAGTTTGTGCATGTTCTACTTTTGCGACGCAACGCGACCGTTTCCACCCATCGCTTGCATTGTTTTACCCGACATAAGCTGCCTTGCGATTGCTGCAACGAGATTCGTATGCATGAATGCAAAATGCATAAAAGCAAACAATGTGCATGAAACAATCAGTGCATATAGTCATGTATACAGCATGCACACAGCAACAAGTCATGTAAACTCATTTAGTTGCGCGATCTATAGGCGGTCGTCGCTTCGACCTAAGTGCCTTCTGCGACTGCCAGTGTCAGTCGCTGTCAGTCGCGTCGCTGTCAACCTAAGCACTCAATCAGAGTGAGTTGCAATGCGTCGCGTCATGTCGCATTCAATCACAATCCGACCTAAGGCCGGCTTAAGTTACTCCCACTGAACATATGGTGAACATACAATCGTGTGCACAACCTGGGGTCAATTGATGCAAATTGTTATCATTATTCTTTGTTTACATTGTTCATTGTTTACATTGTTTTGTTATTTGTGTTGTTCATTGTTTACATTGTTTATTGTTCACATTGTTCATTGTTTGCAATGTCTATTGTTTAATTTGTTAATTATTCATACTGATCGTTGTTTGCATTCTTCATTGTCTATGTTGTTTCATTGTTTACGCTGTTCATTGTTTACACTCTTTATTGTTTATGTTGTTTATTGTTTATGCTGTTAAATGTTTATACTGTTCATGGTTCACTGTTCATCATTCACAGGCGATCATATACTGCATGCGCAAGAAGCGGAAGATGTCAACAGCTAGGGCAGAGGAGTACTGTCTAAGGGGCCCCTTCCTCACTAAGGAGGAGCGCAAGTTTGTATTCTGCTAGGTGGTGCCACTTGCCAGCACGAGGCGACAGCGCGTCGAGTGGCACCACTGTGGTTCCCAAACTACAGGGTCACTAGAGAACCAAGGGTGCTGCTAGGTCGATGCAAACATGACAGGAAACCGTAGCGACACATGCTCCTTACCGTGTCGGGTGGATGCGCATCGGCCGTTTCCACGGCAACCCTCGGCAGCTGTGACAGGTGTTTCCACGCTTCGCCGGTGGCGACTGCAGATATAGAGACAGGAGTGCGGAGAATGTTCGACCGTGGCGTGCAGCTGCCATCTGTCGGTGACATTAACGACGCAGAACTGTTCTGATTCCTGCGAGCTGACCGGTGTGATGGGCCACGCGAGGTTTAATCCCGGACTTTGGTTTTTATGGAGAGAAAGGATCACGAGACGAGAGTGATTGGCACATTGTCGAGAACGGATCACGAGATGAAACGGACTTCACATGGCTTCCGCGCTCCCATGAGATGCTGAAGATTCCAGAGGGGAACACGCGCTTGCACGAAAGAGAATGAGAGCGAGAGGAGGGAGGGAGAGAGGAGGAGGCAGAGAGAGAGAAGTGGTCAGAGAGAGAGAGAGAGAGAGAGAGTGTGAGAAAGAAGCGGTGGTGAGGGAGAGAGAGAGAGACAGTAGTGTTGCCTGAGAAATTTACTCGGTGGTTTCTCGTAGCTTTTCCAGTTTTGTGGGGAGCAGCCGGGGTGATGTGTGGGCTACAGATGCATTGACTGTGTCCTCGTAGAATGAATTCTAGTTGGTAGCCTGGGGGAGACTGCTGGGGTTCTTCGAAGAAAGGGCACGCGTTTTTTGCAGGATGCATGCGTTTATTTAGGTATGCTATAGACGTGTTCTCGTGTGACACAGGTGTGTTTTGGAGGGGTAAGGGTGTGTTTTTGTGGGAGTGTAGACATGTTTTTTTGTTGGACACGGACATGTTTTTGCAGGATGTTGTGGACGTGCTCTTGTGGGATGCAAATGTTTTCTGTTTAATAGGGACGTGTTCTTTTGAGATGCGGGCATGTTTTCTGTTTAGGAACGTGTTTTGGTGGGATGGGGACAGGTTTTTTTGTGGGAGAGGGACGTGTTTTTGCAGCACACGGACGTGTTTTCTTCGAGCGATACTGGCGGGTGTCATTGTGGGATGCGGACGTGTTTTCTGCAACCTTCGTGTTGCCAGAACGCCGTGTGCTGTCATAATCCTCTGGGTGCGTCCGTGGTATCGAGGTTTATTGCACGTGAGCACGCCGTCGCCGCGTCTGTGTTGGCACATCGTTCGTAGTAAGCCTCTATCATCCGCTGTTCGTTTTCGTCCGCCGCCAAATCGAGTGCGATGTTTTCCCAAAGGTGGCGCGTCTGGCGTGCGGTGCCGCTAGGAAAGATTGCGTTTATATGTTAATGCCACAGGCTGCAGGACCATGTCCGCCCGCTCACACTACATTGATCTATTTGTTTATCTGTCTATCTATAAATCAATGTCTGTCTGTCCGTCTGTCTCTCTGTCTGTCGGTATGTCCGCCTGTCCGTCCGTCTGTCTCTCGCTCTCTCTCTCTCTCTCACGCTCATGCGTTCTCTCTCTCCCTCTCCCGCGTTCTCTCTTGATCTCTCGCTCTCTCGATCTCTCGCTCTCTCGATCTCTCGATCTCTCGATCTCTCGCTCTCTCGCTCTCTCGATCTCTCTCTCTCACGCGCGCTTTGTCGCGTTCTCTCTCACTCTCTCTCTCTCTCGCTCTCGCGTTCTTTCTCTCGCTCTCGCTCTCTCCGACCGTGTTTATGTACAGATGTAGTGTCAGCAGGGTCACATGATCCTGCAATCAGTAGTTCCTATGCCGTGAAGGTTCCCGCTGCGTTTGTGTGCGTGAATGTGCGGGGTGATGCTCCATTAGGAGCGTTCCCAACTTTAATGTTATTAATGTCGTGATATAAAAGAAATATAAAGAGGGGGGGGGGACGGATCGATGTAAATTAGATATCAAGGGGGGTTAGATATGAAATAGATATGAAGATGGGTATATATAAGGATATAAAAGAGCTATTAAACTTGCACGCCTTGGCTGCGCGAGCAAGCGAAATACAGAGCGTGGGTATGTTCGCTTCGTTTCGCTGGATTTCGCTGCGCGTGCGCGTACGGGAGCACCCTTCCCGATCTGCTCAATACGTGACAAGCTCACTACCATTGGCTGTGTGTGATTTAAGATTATACGATGAATTGATGGAGGCGAGCATGGGCTGCGCATGACTTTTTACGATTTTTTTAAATTAATGTTGCGCGTGTACTGTTTTCCTTAGTGATAACTTCAAGTGTATTCCTTGGTGACATTTCTTGTCGCCGTGGCTTGTGCGACACTTGTGTTAGCACGACTCGCTGAGTCTACATCGTTAAGAGAGCGAGTGTTTCTTTCGTTTACTTCTAGTGGTCGCATGAGCGCTATCTAAATTCGCGGATGTTTTCAATTTTTGCGCACGTTTATTACCGGGAATAGGCGTGGTGTTTGCGTGCGATATTTCTAAGAACGTTCGATTAACGGGCGTTTACTCGCGTGTGTGGATGTATGTGTGCGAGCTCGATTAAACCCATGAGCAATCGGGCTAATTACATGCTAGCCGCCTTTATGCAACCGTTGATGGGGTTCCGCGTGCGAGCGAGAGAGCCAGAGAGAGAGAGAGAGAGAGAGAGAGAGTGAGAGCGAGAGAGAGAGCTAGAGGTGTGTGTGTGTGTGTGTGTGTGTGTGTGTGTGTGTGTGCGTGTACGAACCTGGACCTAGGAGGAGAATGGCGCGCCTCTCCTATACCTTATGAGGAACTTCATCCTTAGGAGGAGCTCCTCCTAAGGAT